AGGAAAGTATATAGCAATACAAGCCTTTCTCAAGAAACAGGAAAGGTCTCAAATACACAACCTAACCATACACCCAAAGGAGCTAGAGAAAAAACAGCAAAAAAAGCCTAAACCCAGCAGGAGAAGAGAAATAATAAAGATCAGAGCAGAAATCAATGAAATCGAAACCAAAAGAACAGTAGAACAGATCAAAGAAACTAGGAGCTGGTTCTTTGAAAGAATTAATAAGATTGATAAACCCCTGGGGGTGGGAGGATGGGTTAGCCTGGTGGTGGGTATTGAGGAGGGCACATTCTGCATGGAGCACTGGGTGTTATGCACAAACAATGAATCATGGAACACTTCATCTAAAACTAATGATGTAATGTATGGGGATTAACATAAGAATAAAAAAAATAAAAAAAAAAAGATTGATAAACCCCTGGCCAGACTTGTCAAAAAAGAGAAATGACCCAAATAAATAAAATCATGAATGAAAGAGGAGAGATCACAAACAACACCAAAGAAATACAAACAATTATAAGAACATATTATGAGCAACTATATGCCAGCAAATTAGATAATCTAGAAGAAATGGATGCATTCCTAGAGATGTATCAACTACCAAAGCTGAACCAGGAAGAAATAGAAAACCTGAACAGGCCTATAACCACTAAGGAAATTGAAGCAGTAATCAAAAATCTCCCAATAAACAAGAGCCCAGGGTCAGATGGCTTCCCAGGGGAATTCTACCAACATTTAAAGAAGAATTAATACCTATTCTTCTGAAACTGTTCCAAAAAATAGAAATGGAAAGAAAACTTCCAAACTGGTTTTATGAGGCCACCATTACCTTGATCCCAAAACCAAAGACCCTATCAAAAAGGAGAACTGCAGACCAATATCCCTGTTGAACATGGATGCAAAAATTCTCACCAAAATACTAGCCAATAGGATCCAACACGTGAATAGGATTATTCACCATGACCAAGTGGGATTTATTCCTGGGCTGCAAGGTTGGTTCAACATCTGCAAATCAATCAATATGATACAATACATTAATAAAAGAAAGAACAAGAACCATATGATCCTCTCAATAGATGCAGAAAAAGCATTTGACAAAGTACAGCATCCTTTCTTGATCAAAACTCTTCAGAGTATAAGGATAGAGGGTACGTACCTCAATATCATAAAAGCCATCTATGAAAAACCCACAGCAAATATCATTCTCAATGGGGAGAAACTGAGAGCTTTCCCCCTAAGGTCAGGAACACAGCAGGGATGTGCACCATCACCACTACTATTCAACATAGTATTAGAAGTCCTAGCCACAGCAATCAGTCAACAAAAAGAAATAAAAAGCATCCGAATCAGCAAAGAAGAAGTCAAATTCTCGCTCTTTACAGATGATATGATATTTTATGTGGAAACCCCAAAAGACTCCACCCCAAAACTGCTAGAACTCATACAGGAATTCAGTAAAGTGGCAGGATATAAAATCAATACACAGGGGCACCTGGGTGGCTCAGTCGTTAAGCGTCTGCCTTCGGCTCAGGTCATGATCCCAGGGTCCTGGGATCGAGCCCCGCATTGGGCTCCCCGCTCAACGGGAAGCCTGCTTCTCCCTCTCCCGCTATCCCTGCTTGTGTTCCCTTTCTCGCTGTGTCTCTCTCTGTCATACAAATAAATAAAATCTTTAAAAAAAAAAAAAGAAAAAATCAATACACAGAAATCAGTGGCATTCCTATACACCAACAACAAGACAGAAGAAAGAGAAATTAAGGAGTCGATCCCATTTACAATTGCACCCAAAACCATAAGATACCTAGGAATAAATCTAACCAAAGAGGCAAAGGATCTGTACTCAGAAAACTATAAAATACTCATGAAAGAAATTGAGGAAGACACAAAGAAATGGAAAAACGTTCCATGCTCATGGATTAGAAGAACAAATATTGTGAAGATGTCAATGCTACCTAGAGCAATCTACACATTTAATGCAATTCCTATCAAAATATCATCCACTTTTTTCAAAGAAATGGAACAAATAATCCTAAAATTTGTATGGAACCAGAAAAGACCCCAAATAGCCAGAGGAATGTTGAAAAAGAAAAGTGAAGCTGGTGGCATCACAAGTCAGGACTTCAAGCTCTATTACAAAGCTGTAATCATCAAGACAGTATGGTACTGGCACAAAAACCGACACATTGTTCAATGGAACAGAATAGAGAGCCCAGAAATAGACCCTCAACTCTGTGGTCAACTAATCTTCGACAAAGGAGGAAAGAATGTCCAATGGAAAAAAGACAAGTCTCTTCAACAAATGGTGTTGGGAATATTGGACAGCCACCTGCAGAAGAATGAAACTGGACCATTTCCTTACACCACACACAAAAATAGACTCAAAATGGTTGAAAGACCTAAATGTGAGACAGGAGTCCATCAAAACCCTAGAGGAGAACACAGGCAGCAACCTCTTCGACCTCAGCCGCAGCAACCTCTTCCTAGAAACATTGCCAAAGGCAAGGGAAGCAAGGGCAAAAATGAACTATTGGGACTTCGTCAAGATAAAAAGTTTTGCACAGCAAAAGAGTCAACAAAACCAAAAGACAACCGACAGAATGGGAGAAGATATTTGCAAATGACATATCAGATAAAGGGCTAGTATCCAAAATCTATAAAGAACTTCTCAAACTCAACACCCAAAGAACAAATGATTCAATCAAGAAATGGGCAGAAGATATGAACAGACATTTTTCCAAAGAAGACACCTAAATGGCCAACAGACACATGAAAAAGTGCTCAACATCACTCAGCATCAGGGAAATCCAAATCAAAACCTCAAGGAGATACCACCTCACACCAGTCAGAATGGCTAAAATTAACAAGTCAGAAAATGACAGATGTTGGCGGGGATGCAGAGAAAGGGGAACCCTCCTGCACTGTTGGTGGGAATGCAAACTGGTGCAGCCACTCTGGAAAACAGTATGGAGGTTCCTCAGAAAGTTGAAAATAGAGCTACCCTACGACCCAGCAATTGCACTACTGGGTATTTACCCCAAAGATACAAATGTAGGGATCCGAAGGGGTACATGCACCCCAATGTTTATAGCAGCAATGTCCACAATAGCCAAACTGTGGAAAGAGCCAAGATGTCCATCGACAGATGAATGGATAAAGAAGATGTGGTATATATATATATACAATGGAATATCATGCAGCCATCAAAAGGAATGAGATCTTGTCATTTGCAATGATGTGGATGGAACTGGAGGGTGTTATGCTGAGCGAAATAAGTCAATCAGAGAAAGACATGTATCATATTATCTCACTGAAATGAGGAATTCTTAATCTCAGGAAACAAACTGAGGGTTGCTGGAGTGGTGGGGGTGGGAGGGATGGGGTGGCTGGGTGATAGACATTGGGGAGGGTATGTGCTATGGTGAGCACTGTGAATTGTGTAAGACTGTTGAATCACAGACCTGTACCTCTGAAACAAATAATACATTATATGTTAAAAAAAGAAGATAGTAGGAAGGAAAAATGAAGCGGGGGAGATTGGAGGGAGAGACAAACCATGAGAGACTATGGACTCTAAGAAACAAACTGAGCGTTCTAGAGGGGAGGGGGTTGGGGGGATGGGTTAGCCTGGTGATGGGTATTAAAGAGGGCACGTTCTGCATGGAGCACTGGGTGTTATATGCAAACAATGAATCATGGAACACTACAGCAAAAACTAATGATATAATGTATGATGATTCACATAACATAATAAAATTTAAAAAAAAAAAGAATATCTGACTTTTCTCTCCTCTGCACAAACATCTCCCATGGCTCCCCATTGCCCTCCTATGTTAGTCATGAATCTCTCTTCAAAGAAGAACTTGCTATCCAGCTGCAAGGAGTGCAGTTGGCTGACAGCTTCCACTTATAGGGTCCCTGGGCTCCGTGGCAGCATTCAAGCCAAGCCCATGCTTTCTTAGGCAGCTCCCAGCCAATGATAGGGCAGGGTGGGCCCCCACTTCCTGACCATTTCTGCCCAATGTAAGGCTCCCTGGCAGCATCCCTGCCCACTTTTATCTTTTATCCAATATTGGCTTCCCAGAGAACTTGAACTGACACCTTTAGAAGGTCTTCATATGGTTTCCAAAGCATTCGCAGAAGGACTTCCATTACCAGCTCTAGCTTCGCTGGGACCCCTCTGATTCTTTACACTGTAAATTTCATGAAGATCCAGCCAACTTTTACCTCCTCCCAAACATGCCAGGCTCACTCCTCCATGCCTCCATCCTGGCCTTTGCACAAGGTATCTCCAAGGCCTGGAGCACTGTCCACTACCCAAAACCAGAGTGGTGAATTCGTATTTGCTGCTTCACTACCCAGCCTCACCCACCTTCTTTCCTAACTGCCCCAGCCTTGCCCAGGTAAGACTCGAATGGGACTGGATGTGGAGTTGGGAGAGGGCAAGCAGTGTGGACACGTTTACTGAACAAAGAGATGGGTAATTTTTCACCCCCAAAAACCTCTTGTGACTCCCTGCAATAGATTTTTATGTGGGAATTAGATATAAGAGCAAAAATTAAAGGGAGTAAGGATCTTTGGGGAAAGCGTGCAACTTCAGACAGAAAAGCAAGGGTGGGGAGAAGTTCATTTACTGAACACATGCTGGATGGCATCTGTTCTAAACACATTGTCACAGTTCACCAAGCAGCCCTGTAGAAGAGATTCCCTGCCCCACCCCCATTTACAGAGGAGAAAAGTGGTATTCAGAAAAGGGAACTGATTTTATTAAAGTCACATAGCAAGTAAGCAGGGCAATAAATGTGGAACTCAGATCTTTCTGTTGCATAAGCCTGCAAGCTTTCCCTGCTCTCCAGGCTGTCTGCCAACCTGCCTCTAGGTTCTGCTCCTATTCCCAGGAAACAATAATGACAGAATTAACAAAAAGTTATTTCCTCTCCCCAGCTTGGGAGCAGAGCCAATGAGGGGTTCAGGAACAAACCATGATGACCTGCACTCACCATTCAATCTCTTGAGGCTCACGGTCCCTCAGGAGCTCTTGCACCTCCTGCCGACAGCGTTCGGTATTCTGGGTGCTTCGCAAGGTTGTACAGGACCCAGGAGAGGCCACTGGCTGTGGTGTCATGGCCTGAGAGGCAGCCAGACAGGCTTGCATCTCTGGGCTTGTTCAGCACCAGAGGGTGGACAGCGCCTTTACTTAAGGCCCTCAAGGGTGGATGGGGAGCATGGGGTGGGATGGGGTGGTCCAGGGCCTACCTACCAAGTTCCTGGGATTGGACATACCCCTGCCCACCCCCATAGTCCCACACTGGGATGCTCACCCTCAAACATGAAGGTATCAGCCTCAGCTCGGATGTTCTCATCTGACAATTGTTTTCCATCTTCATCCTGGAGAAAGGGCAAGACCTCCTGAATCACACCAGCTCTGAGGGTGTCTAAGTCTAATCTGAAACAGTCCCTCAGGCTCCATCAACAAAGCAGGATCTGTCCCTCATCATCTCTAGAGCCCACCCAACAGGTCTCCTCCCTGGTCTTCAGCCTTTTATTTATCCCTTTCAGGCAGCCTTCTACAGAGTCATGTCTAAAACATATCCCTGACCCATCTCTCCCTTCCTCAAGCACCTCCCATGGTTGCCCAGTACCCTGTGGGTCAAGTCCAAGTTCTTCCATGTGACATTTGAAGTCAAGGTCCATTCTATCTCTTGAATTCTGATCCCAGGGAAGCCCACCTTGGCCAGCAGGAGCACATCAATGAAGTCCAAAGTCTTGGCCTTAGCCTTGGCCTTGAGGAAGTCATGGGAACCCCCACTAATGAGGGCACGGCGCTGCTCCTGGATGACAGCATCTGTGAAGTTGTGCACCAGGTTGCAGGCCCTGCGGGAGCGCCACCCATTGGGGGTGAGATTGTACAGGAAGTCCATGTGCAGGAAGATCTGCTCCTGCCATTTCACCACAAGGGCACTGAGCTCCAAGATGGCAGCAATATATTCACTGGGACTCCTGCAGGGCCAGGCCAGAGAGAACCTTAAGAAACAGCTTCTTAACCCACATGAAACCCTAAGAGCACCTTCCAACCAGAAACCCAGAAGCACTGTGGCACATGCTTTGCTCATCATAGCCCCCCTGGACTTTATTCACAACAGAGTGTTCTCCAGGCATGCTTCTCCCTCTACATCCCACCTTTATGAATAGCCTCATGTCCCAGACCCCAGGGCAGAGCTTGGGCATCATGCTCGTCTCCTCTCTTTCCTACACAATATCTGACCCTGCCCATTCTTTCTTAGTTTCTCCCAAATCTGCCCCATTTTCTCCAACAAATTCAAGCCTTCTCCTCTCCATGGTCTCCCTGAATTCTGTGTCTATATGACAGCTGGTCTTCTTTAGAGTCAGATGTCCAAAAACAACTTTGACCATGACCCTCATCTATTCAAACACCTTCCATGCCTCCCTGGAAACCTCAGGATAAAGTTCATATGCCTTTGTCTGGATTTTGAATGTCCTTAAGATAAAGCCCCTGCCAAGCCCTCCAACCTCATTCCCAAGGTGGCTCCTCACTGCAGCACATGCTTTGCTCATTGTGGCCCCCTGGCCTTTATCAAACATTTCTGCCTACCTGAAAGAATCACTCTTTCTCTTTCCCTTCCTTGTCCTTCAATGTCTAGCTCTGATCCATCTCCTCCAGGAAGTCCCCTCTGATTGTGCTAACCAGTCCTCCGTTCCCCATCTACTCCCTTGGGTCTATGGCTCATGTTCGCATGCCCAGGGCAGAGACTCACTCCTGGCAATTGCTGTCAAAACTGAAGACACATTTTTGCAGACTGTCCAGGGTCATGAGGCTGATGTGCTCAAACATGTCTAGATGGGTGCTGCCTTCCAAGGCCAGGCACTGCCACTTGGCCTGGACAGAGAAAGGGGCAAATCCGGGGTTGGGATCTGCTTCCCCTGAGCTCCTCCTCAGCCCCAACCACCAAGATGGACTCCCCCAGACCCAGCCTCCTGATCCTCCACCCCAGGTACCCATCTCCAGGAAGGACCAGGCTTGGGTGGGAGTAGAAACTGTTACTATTAAGAACCCATTTAAAAAAAAAAAGACCCCATGGTTAGGAGTCAGGAGACCTGAGTTCAAATCCTGGCTCTACCTCCTATACTCTGTGTGCTCTTGGTCAACTCATTGTCTTCCTCCTGTCAAAGCTCATTGGGATCTACCTGTCAAAGCTTGTCAAAGATGACCTGCTTTGGTGTCAGACAAATCAGGTTGGATCCCAGCTCCACTTATTAGCTCACTTGCTAGCTGAACATGGGCAAGCTCTCTAACCTCTCTCAGCCTCAATTTCATCACCTGTAATGAGGCAATAATAATCATCTCTACCTCATATGGTTGTGAAAATTAAATTAGACAACATATGCAATAGAACTGGTGCATTATTTCTGGTATACAGCAAGTGCTGAATAACTGTTAGCTATCATCCTCATCTTCATCATTATCATAGTGGTAGATAACTGATGCAAAAATGTCCCCATTCCTTTGTCCCTCCCTATACCTTCACCCTTTGCAATGAGGTTTTGCAGGTCTTCCATTAGGAGGTAGAACCTCTTTCTCCAGCTCTTGAGCTGGATGTGGGACTTGTTTGGCCAACAGAAGAAGGTGGAGGTCATAGTTGCCTGTTCTGAAATTAGGATTCAAGAGGTACTGCATGTTTCTCTTCTTTCTCTTGGAGCCTCCACCATGTGATCAAGCTCAGGCTAGCCTACTGGAGGATGAGGGACAAATGCAGGAATCCAGTTGTTCCACCAAAGCCATCCTCGACCAGTGCCCCAAACGTGCCACAGAGCTGAGCTTGGACGAGCAGAGCTGTCTCCCAAACCCACCCATGACCACAGACATGTGAGTGATTCCAGCCAGGATAAGAACTACTCTACTGACTCATCATCTTGGGAGCAACAACAAACACTCATTCTTTCAAACCAGTGAATTTTAAGGTGGAATGCTATGCAGAAAGAGCTATTATACAATCTTCATCATTAGTGTCTTGAATTTTACAGAGTTTCAGTGAGGCAGACTAGAAACTAAAACCTTCTGAGCACCTACTATGTGCCAGGATCATGATTCCATTACATCATCTTGATCACCCTTTAAAAAGGGCTTATCCCCCTCCCATTTTACAGATGGGGAAACTGAGGCTTAAATGGGAAAAGGAATGGCCCTAAAGCCATCCAGCCAAACCAGGACTCCAGATCATATGTGTCTGAGGCTACTCCCCTTTTCCCAAAGCTCCAGCTGGGACCCTGGATTTAAGGAACTCACATGCATGATGCCTGCGCTTTTGTTGAAAATCTTCACATAGGGTTTCAAGATTTCAAAATGGAAGGCAGGTGTCAGCAAGCAGCAGTGGTGGCTCCACTTGTCACCAGCACTCAGCAGGAGCCCATCCCCTAGTAGAGGCAGTCACAAGGAATGGACAAGGGCAGTGCCTTCCCCGGAGACCCCAAGGTTGTCCCCAACCCCCTTCACCCACAGTTACTCACCCAGCCAGGGCTTCAGGAGGTTGTAGAAAAACATATCCTTGGGTATGATGGTGGCTGACACAAGAGATAGACCATCAGGGGCCATGGAGAAGAGGTGGGGAGGGCCTTTTTGTTGGGAGGTGGAGGATCCCAATCAGGGTTCTGCATACCCCCTTTAAGCCCAGCATAGCAGGAATGGGAACAAGGGCAGAGAAAACAGAGAGGAGTGGGTAGATGAAGGGGGACCAGACCAGGCTGCAGCACAGAGCAGAGCAAAGGCAGAGCCTGCAGACACACTTAGATGTACTTAGATGCACCCTAACATGGCACAACATACTCCAGCATGCCTTGACATGGCTCCTACCTGGTCCAACACATTCAAAACACCCGAACACAAATCAACACTCTACAAAATGCCTTTACAGGGACCTAGGACACCTCATCTGTCCCAGAGCCCCCTGACATTTCCTGCAACAGTTGACATGGCCACACCATGTGTTGGGGCTATGTCCTGACATGTCCTGACATGAAACAACATGCATAACACACATTGACAGGACACAACATGCTCTGACATGGACCCAAAGACAATCTGACACGACCTCAGTGTGCCCTACAGATGGTCCCAAACAGGACTTAAAGGTCCCATTAATGTCCCAGACATGGCCCAGGAGTGACTTAGCCTTCCTCAGTATCCCCTTCCACCCCATACTGGCCATTAAGTACTTAGGTAAGGGGTTCCTATGCCCTTAAAGAGACCAAAGGATGCTGCCACCCTCAGATGCTGAGCCCCATCCACCACAAAGAGCTGCCACTGCTCCCTTGTGCCTCTAGACCAGCCCTCCAGGGCCAACCAGACACAGTTGACCAACCTGAGGTCTGGTAGATCTTCCCCCACAATACTCTGGCCATCTTCACACCCCAAATCCCTTTCCAGCTTAGGGTCCCTCCCAGCAGAGGCAGCTAGAGCAGCCAAGAACACACAGAAGAGGGAAGCTTCAGCATACTATGTGGCCTTCAGAACTTATTATGCCCCCTGAGCCTTGGTTTCCTCACCCAGGAAATGCCAACCTAGCAGGGATGCTGGTGGATGGACATCTGTGGTATCTACTTGCCCAGCATTCATCCCCTTCTGGAACTAGCATCTTGTTCCTCCTCCACTCTCAATCCAAGTAGTTAGGAGAGTGGCCATGCCACCCCATCCTCTGTTCCAGAGCTGAGCATATGACCCTAAGCCTCAGCAATTAAGTCTCAGTGACTAGAGGAAGAATTGGTCCCTGTGACCCAGGCCAGGCCAATGTAAAGGAATCCTGCAACTTTTTCTGGGTCTGCAGAGAATGAGCTCACATTTCCATGGAAGCTGAGTTTCTTGGACTCATCTTTATCAGCATGAGAGTGAAGCTGTCAGAGAGGAACAGAGCTACAAGATGAAGACAGATTCCCAATGGCACTCTTTAAGACCTGGATCCAACCATGTCAACCATGCTTGAAGACAACATTCTTTCAATTTTTCAGTCAACAGATTCACTTTCTTTACTTAGACCAACAGTGTTGAACTTCCACCACTCAAAACTGAAAGGGACTGGCAACCAGAGAGAGCCAGGGACCTGCCCAGAGTCATCCAGCGGGTTAATGGCAGGTCTCCGTCAACATTGCCCATTTGCCTGCTCAACCTGGTCTGTCCAGGAGTGGGAAGGACTGGGAGCAGGGGCAGGGGAGTGGCTAGGTTGGGGCTCCTGGGAGAGATACCTGGTGCCTGGAGCAGGGGAGCAACAAAGGTAGGGTGGACGAGTCACAGTACAGGGTAGAAGGGCCCAATCCACCAGAGGGGAACATCATGGAAGTGGTGGCCCAGATCCTCTATCATCCGCAAGCCTTCCTCATTGCTCTTCACCTGTGGATGGCAGGGCCGGGAAAGGATGGGTGGGGGGATGAGGCCAGGTCAAACAGGAGAACCAAGAAGCTCACAACTGCCCACTGCAACCCTCCACCCACCACACCCCCTCCCCCACTTCCCCCTTCTGCCCGCATTATTAGTCTATACTTCTATATCTCACTAAGTCAGCTTCCTTCTGTTGGTCTGTTGGTCTTTCAGGTGTCTATCTATCTATAAGTCTCTCCCTGTCCCCTCACTCTCTTCATCTGTTTCTTTAGGTAGTTGATAGATAGCTAGACGATGATAGCTAGCTAGCTAGCTAGCTAGCTAGATGATAGGCAGATAGATAATGGATGAATGGAAAATGGATGGATGGATGGATGGATGGATGGATGGATGGATGGATGGATGGATGCATGGATGCATGGATGCATGGATGGATGCATGGATGCATGGATGGATGCATGGATGGATGCATGGGTGGATGGATGCATGGATGGATGCATGGATGCATGGATGGATGCATGGATGGATGCATGGGTGGATGCATGGGTGGATGGGTGGACAGATGGATGGGTGGATGGCTGGATGAGTGGATGGATGGATGGATGGATGGATGGATGGATGGATGGATGGATGGATGGATAAAGGACAGATGGAGAGAAATGAGAGATGGATGGATTGATGATAGACAGATGATATGTGTTTGCATCTGTTTATGTGTATGTTTCTTTTACACTCTCTGTATGGCCTCTCTCTCCCTCACTTTTTCTCTGTATCTCCCTCTTTCTTCAGCCCTATTTCTCTCTCCATCTCTCCTACTCCCTGAGTCTGTGCCTCCTCACCTCCACACCCTCCATGACTCCTCAGAGCCCTCAGAATAAATCCCCTGGCCCTGCTGGCTCTGCTGTCCCCTCCACCTTTTCCCCTGCCTCTCATCAACATTGCTCTCACTGCACTGAACTCTTTGTTGCTCAAAAACCAGGTGCTCACTCTGTCCCCTCCAGGCCTTTGAGTGGGCTCTTCCTCTCCACAGCATATACTTTATCTTTTTTTCTTAAAAAAAAAAAAAATTCCTACCCATCATTCCAAACCCACTTCAAACGACTCCTCCTCCAAGAAGTCTTCCAGCCTGCCCTAACAGCAGAGGCCTTGCTTCCCCCTGGGTTCCCCCAGCCCCTATCTCTCCCTCAGACCCACTCTGACCACACAGAATTGGGGTTGTCTCTAGTTCTACATGCCCAAGATTGGGGTTCCTCCAGGACAGAGCCTGGGGCTGAGTCTCTCCAAGCATCCTGAAGCAGTGTGCAGAAAGAAAGAAATGACCAAGGGCATCCAAGAGCAGGAAGGGCCTTGGGATCTACAGAAGCTTGGTAAGGAGGGGCTTGCGGCCCCCAGATGCTACTACAGGGCCCACCACCATGTATTCCAGGTGGGTACCTGTGGCATGGTGACAGATCAGGCAATGTCAGGATTGCAGAAAATAGTGAGAGCCCATGCAGAACATAAATCCCTGGGGGCAGGTGGCCACCAGCTGAGTTATGACCCTTAAGCCCTGCTCCAGGGGGCAGGGGGCCTACAAGCAAGAAAGGGGCCGTGACCTCCCCAGAAGGAACCACGGCAGATCCCCTGCAGCCTCTATAGTGCACAGGGTGTCCAGATTCTGCATGGATGGAGGGAATCTCTGCTTCCTCCTGCTCCTTCCCTCTGGGGACAGGAGGGTCCTGGAGGACTCTCCACGTCCCAAGGGTACATCCCAGGTCACAGAGAGAAGACATGCTCTCTGCCCACAGAGAGGCCGACCTTGGCTTGAGAAATCAGATTTTTCTTTTTTTTTTTTTTTAAAGATTTTATTTATTTATTTGACAGAGAGAGACACAGCGAGAGAGGGAACACAAGCAAGGGGAGTGGGAGAGGGAGAAGCAGGCTCCCCACCGATCAGGGAGCCCGATGTGGGGCTCGATCCCAGGACCCTGGGATCCTGACCTGAGCCGAAGGCAGATGCTTAATGACTGAGCCACCCAGGGGCCCCGAGAAGTCAGATTTTTCTTCTCCTGGGAGTGGTTCCAAACTCAGCGAGCTCCCCATGGGGGAGGTTTGTGGTCAGCAGGGTGGTCTCAGGACTTCTACTGGGGCTCATTCCCACACCCTGTCATGTCTTGGCCAGTATACATAGCCCCCAGTTCCTCACATGGTGAAGGGTCTGCAGACCTTCCAGCCCTGGCAGACCCCAGGGGACAGATGTGAACTCTGCTCATCAGTCAAGAGGGCAGCTCCCACCTATGAGCCCCTACTGCCTGCCAGGCTGTGCATAGAACATCCTGTCTGTCTATCTGTCTATCTATCTATCTATCTATCTATCTATCTATCTATCTATCTATATCATCTATCTATCTCTTTCTACCTATCTCCCCTGCACCTATGGACTCTCCCATCAGTCATGCCATTTACAAATGAAGAAACCAAGGCCACGTGCCCCAAAAGGAGAAATGGGGGCATGGTTAGCTCCTGGGGACGCATCCTCTCCAGTCCCTCTCCATCCCTCCAGGATGCCCCATGCTGGCCTGACAAAAACTCCCAGGGGTTCCAGACAGGTGAACAGAAGGCGTTTTCACCTTTTTGACTGCCCCCTGATCCCCAAGGACCCTGAGACACTTGATGAGTTTGGCCCAGACAGGGAGAGTGACTCAGCTGAGGTCACGCACACGGCGAGAGGGACTAGCAGAGAGAAGAGGACCTAGACCAGTTTCCATAGCCAAGCCCTTAGAGGGGTGCGTAGAACTGCAGTAACTTGATAACATTCCTGTTACTTCCAGGGCTTGATGAGAAATTTCCAAGACCTAAAATTTTAAGCAACCTTCAGGATGATCTTGGGACATCCTGTTCTGTAATGAGCTGGTCTGCAGGAGGGGAGGGGAGGAGCTGGATGCCCATCCCTTTGGCATTGGATGACTAAGAGAGTGATGGTAAGTTCACCCAAACCTAGGACATGGCTTCCACCATGACATCATCAAACATTTATTAAGGGCCAACTCTACGCAGCTCCTGAGCTGGGCATTATAGATATGTCCGTTCCCCAGTGCTATTGTCTAGTGGGAGAGAGAGATAATCCACTAATAATTGGACAAGTAACTGTTTATTTTTTTATTTTTTTATTTTTTTTTTTTGGACAAGTAACTGTTTAAGCTTAAGCAGGACCAAGTCAGAGGTCCAGGTCTAGTGGGGGAAGTCAAGGGAGGCTTGGAGAAGTTACACTTGAGCTTAAAAAATGGGATGAAAAGGAGGGATCAACCCAGTGGCTGCAGGAAGGGAAGCCCTTCCTGGCAAAGGAGCAGCACAAGCAAAGCCCCTGAGGTAGAAAGGGTTTGGCTCTTTGAGGAAAGAAGCAGGAGCTTGGAGTATCTAGGGTATGCAGTGGGCCTGACAACACTTAGTCTCTATGTTCAGAATGATGGGCAGTCTTATAGAATGGTTTTCAGCCAAATAGAGGTGTAAACCAAAGCTAAATTTCAGAAAAATGTCTCCAGGGCTCAAGAGAGAAAGGACGACAGGGGACAAGAGTGGCAATGAGGAGCCTGAGGAGTCGGAGAGAGGGCTTCCTGGAGAAAGATACCAGTGGATGTGGCAGGAGAAGTGGCAGGAGATTGCAGAGAAGGGACAGGTTGAGGAGAGGCTGTGGAAGCAGCACGTCTGGTCGTGCTGAAGGACCAGACTGCAGGAGAGAAAAGAGGGGGGTCAGGGGCCCCAAAGTGTGGGAAGTGGGCAAAGGAAGGGTGGACAAGACGGAGGGTGGGGCAGGACTGGGAAGGGAACCTGAGTTTGGATTTTGACTTGGTGGAATGAGGTGTTTAGGAGACCCCACCTGAGGAGGGGAGGCTGGGACTTGAACTTGTAATTCACTTGTGGAAGAAGTCCATGTGGCCCACTTAGGGAGTCAGATCCTGGGGTAAGGTGATGGCCTTGGGAGCCAGAGAAGAGGGAAGGAGGGTTAGAACCCTGAGGGCTCCCCACGTGGAGAGGTGGGGTGAAGGAGGAGCCCAGTGGAGCCCAGTGGAGGGCGGTGTGCTAGAATGCTAAAACCCAGAGAACAAGGAGGTTCAGGACCGGTCAGCAGTCAGCAAAGCCAGATTGCTTCTGGGTGGGGATGAGGTCCTGGTCATCTCGTGGAAGCACGACGGGGGTGGGAACCAGGCTGCAGCAGGTGAAGATTGGCCAAATGGGGGCAATAAATGAAATGTTTGGCCATTAAGGTCAAGGCCAGAGTGATTCCTTCTGAAAGGGGAAGTGGTCAACTTTTATCCAAGTTGAGCAATGGGCCCCATTGATATACCTTGGGGATGGAAGGCAAGATTACATAAGGAGGAAGGGGAGGAAATGGACAGACAGCCCACACCTCTCCTCCAGCCCAGCTGTGCCCCCATGGGGGGAGGGGAGGGCAGAAGTCATAGTTGATTCCTGTGGGGAAGCCAAAGCCCAGACAGGAGCACCTGCTGGCCTGAGGCCAACAAAAATGGGCCAGGCAGGGAGTGAACCCTAGACAGTGGCCCTGGGGAGACTGTGGGGGCACCGGGGGACCCGTCTCATGCAGCCCTTCACTGCGTCCCAGACTCCAGCCCAACCCCTGATCCCCACTCCCGGCCCCTCAGGAAGTCCATCCACACTGATACCCCAGACCATGTCCCACCCACACTCACCAGGCCCACGTGACCCCAAAACCAGCTCCGTTTTGGGGGCTGCGGGAAACACCGGAGGCGGCAGCAGATGTCATGCAAGCGGTGGCTCCAGGCCAGGACGCGGGTCAGCAGCCAGGTGGCCCCGGCCAGCAACAGGAGCAGCCACGGGGAGGCAGCCAGCTGCCCCATGCCCAGCCAGGACAGGCTCCACTGTGACATCCTGGGGCACAGGGGACAGAGGGGGAGCTCCTGAGACCCAGCTGTGGGGCAGAAAGTGAGCTCCCTGCACTGCTCACAAACAGAGGTGGGGGGGCCCAGGATGGGAGGGACAGGGACAGGGAGGGGCAGGGAAGGTGAGTGCGGGGCACTGGGCAAATGGGGGCTCCGAGGGGGTGGGTGAACACGGGGAATTCCAGAGGAAGAGGAAGAGGGAGAGACAGAGGTGGAGGAGGGAGAAGAAAGACAGAGAGAAACTTATGAAAAAACACCCAAACTCAGTCAGTGAGAGGTTGCCAGGAGATCCGGTTACAAGGAAAGAACCAACCCCCAGCCAGCCGATTCCTGGAGCCCCTTCTGCCTGGGGCAGTGCTTCCTCCCTCCCCCCCCCCCCCCAAGACAGTGCTCTCCCCCCACCCCCGCTCCAGACAGGAACACTCTCAGCCCTGCCAGCCCCAGCCGGTCACCTTCCACACGAGCTCTACACACCTCCTCCAGCTGGTCTTTGTCCCCGGCCCCTGACCTTTGAACTGGGGGAGGCTGGGCTTGGCTGGGTCGGCCAATGGCAGCATGTCTGTCTGCCACCTCCCCACCTGGCAGCCGCCCAAGACCTGAGAACGGAGCCAGTGGGATACACAAAGAAACCAGTCCAGGGTCACACAGAACTCAACACCTCCCACGTGGGGTGGGGGGTTAGTTGAGGGATGGGCAAAGATGATTTCGGGCCCCTAAGTTAACAGCCTCCCTGCCCTTTCAAAGCTGGGGTTGTGGCAGGTAAAAACTTGCACTTGAGAGTTCAGGTGCCATGGGAACAGGATCAGGCCAGCCTCCTCCCAATACATCTCTGGGTTTCCCCTGGATGTGTGAGTCAGGAGGGCGGTTTGTACTATTTCTCAGCAGAGAATCAGGAAGCATCTGGCCTCTGGACTGCACACCTTGGCAGGAGTTCAAGTCCTGCCTCCAAGCAGACCAGGGACTCAGTTGAGACCTGACTGCTGGGGGCAGGAGCAAAGAAACGGGCCTGGCTGGGGATTATCTGCATCAGATTCAGGGAGTAAGGGGCCCAGTCTGAAGAGGGCACCTGGGGGGTGAGGAGGTAAGCCTGCAGGGAACAGGGGCCAGGAGAGGGCGGGGCCCAGACAGAGGAAGCAGAGCTGGGAGACCCTGCATGGAGTTCTGCCCCACCCTGGCTGTGACTATGGGCTGTGACAGGCCCCTGTGGGCTCAGTCTTGCCATCTGAGAAATGGGATGCCAGATGAGGACCTGAGAGGGGGCACATCTTGTCCAGATCCTGTCCTGAATTTCCCTGTGATGTGATCTCAGCCCCTCATGAGGTCTTCTCATGTCAGTCTCTAAGATGAGGGTGAGTTTGAAGGATGGACCTGCTGAGCAAGAGAACTGGAACAGACATTTTTCCTGCAATGACAGGATGCTGGGGAAATGCATTTCCTCTCCCGGACCCACACGTTCCTTCTAGCCCCGCCTGATCCAGCCGCAGGTGGCTGCTTGAAGTCCTCAGCAAGTTGAGAGACACTGCCTTAGATACTCCTCCTCTGCGGCCAGATGGGTCTGAGGAAGAGCAGGAAGAAAGAGGGGGAAAGAAAGGTCCAGGGAGGCGCACTAACTCCTTGAGCCATACAGCGAAGTCATTCAACTTGACAGCAGAGGTGAATCCTGGCACATATTGGGTGCTCATTAACATTCGGGGAAGAAAGGGACTTTCATAGCCATGAGCTCTAAGAACTGACCTCTCAAAATGGGGTCCTCAGCCCATGAGCACTGGCATTCCCAGGAGCTTCTTAGAAATGCCGAATCTCAGGCTCTAACCCAGACCCACAAAGGGGGTGGCGATAATTTTTTTCTGCCATTGTCCCCAGCAAGGGGGACTGGTCTGGGACTACGTACCCAATAGTGTGCAGGAGAGGTTGTGCCGTGCCAGTTATGGGCGAGAGAGGGCCGGCAGCCCAGGCTGACACAGGCCCTTGGAACACATCTCCAGCTGCCATGCTGTGAGGAAGCCCAAGCCCTGCGGAAGGGCCTCACTCTTGTGCAGCTCTGATCAACAGCCCCAGCTGATTTCCCAGCAAACCACGCGTATCAACTGCCAGCCACGTGAAGGAGCCATCTGGACATTCCAGCCCAGTTGAGCCTCCAGATAACCACAGCCCCAGATGATATCTCATGGTGCAGAACCATCCGCCTGAGCCCAGTTGACGTGCAGAGTCACAAGAGAAAATAAAACGGTCATTGCTTTAATCCACTAAGTTTTGGGGGCTGTTAAACAGTGATAGATCATTGGTATACCAAGTGAATCAGAATTCATGTTTTCGCCAGATCGCCAGAGATTCGTGTGCATATCAAAGTTTGAGACGTACTGCTTTAAGTGACCTGGGTCAGGCACCTGGGTGACTCAGTCTGTTAGGCATCTGCCTTTGGCTCAGGTCATGATCTCAGGGTCCTGGGATCGAGTCCTGCTTCTCCCTCTCCCTCTGCCCTTCCCTCCCACCCCCCGTCGTGCTCTCTCTCTATATATCTAAAATAAGTAAATAAAATGTTTTTAAAAAAAGAAAAAAGAGACCTGAGTCAGGCTCTGCAACATACCTTAGGAAACTTACCCTGTCTGTCCCTCAGTTTTTTTATTTGTCAAATGAGGAGAAAAAAAATCTATCTTTGCCAGGGCTGAGTGTTTATTGAACACCTACCATGTGCTGGGAGTATTCTAGATGGTTGGGATGCAGCAATGAGCATGGTGGACACTGTCCCTGCTGTCAAGGGGTTCACATCTAGTGGGGAGACAGTCAATGATCAATTGAATAAATGATGAAGAATGTATCGGACAGTGATTACAATATGAGGGCTTCCAGGAGGAGGTGGCCTTTGAGTCACAGCCAGGGTGGGGCAGAACTCCATGCAGGGTCTCCCAGCTCTGCTTCCTCTGTCTGGGCCCCGCCCTCTCCTGGCCCCTGTTCCCTGCAGGCTTACCTCCTCACCCCCCAGGTGCCCTCTTCAGACTGGACCCCTTACTCCCTGAATCTGATGCAGGTAATCCCCAGCCAGGCCCGTTTCTTTGCTCCTGCCCCCAGCAGTCAGGTCTCCGGTTACAAGGAAAGAACCAACCCCCAGCCAGCCAGATTCTGGCTGGGGGAGGCAGGACTTGAACTCCTGAATGAAGTGCCAGGGTCAGTGGGAATTGTTGTTGAAAGGGCCCCACAGTCATGGGGTAATATGCCCAGCCCTGGGCACAAGTGAGTGTGTCCTTATTTCTTCGATACCTGCACCCTGATCACAGCCAACGTGTCCTTCAATGAAGCAGCCAAGGTGGCAAAATTTGGTCCGATATTCAATACAGAAACAGGTATTGAAGACTGCTTCACCACATCTGAGAACTCAGACCCCCAAAGCCTCTGTGGCCATGGGAGGACAAAATCCATCCATCAGGGACTCCACACTCTCTGGATCAGGAGACAGGAGGCAGAAAGGGAGTAAGAGACCCAGTGTGGGAGGCAGGAAGCCTCAATTGGGACCTTCTTTGCTGAGTTAGAGGAGGCTGGACATCCATTTCTCATCCAACAAGGAATGTCCCAGCTGCCAAATCACACAATTTGGCTTATGGAATGTCCCCTAGCCAGTGCTGGAGGGAGGACGGCCACACACTGAGAGGCAGAGGCTGATCCTTCTCCAGAGCCAGGCAGTGGACAAGCATGTGTCAGACCAGAGGTGGCAGTCACTCTGTGAGTCACCAGCCTCAGGTACGGCCCGTCACACCCTGAGCCTCAGTCTTCACGTCTATAAAATGGGCTTGATAAAACCTCACAGAGGACTGCAAGCCTTCTGTCAGACACAGGCAGAGAGGACAGGAGAAAGTACAACTCTAAGTGATATGTGAATAATGGTTTCATCTATATATACAACTTACGGGTGTGCATAGGGCTCTGTGTGTGCACATGTTTGCATATGCATTGAAAAAATTCCAGAAGCATCCACACATCCAAGTGGAATTGGAGAAAGTAGAATTGGAGTGTTTACCCTTCTAACTTGCTACTTGTCTCCGATTCTTTCTCTCTCCCTCACTGAACTGCTATCACTTTTATCACGAAAATACTAAAGGATTTGGCACAGGATGGGGGAGGGGTGGCACGTAGTTGGTGCATAAAACAGAAGAGCAGCTTTTCTTTTGTGTCACCATGAAGACACACCTCCCAGGAGTCAGACTGGGGTCTCTGTAGAGCAAGCATGCAGGCTGCCTGGTGGCTGAACTCCCTCTTTTCCTTTCCTTGGCCGTTGGGAAGGAACACTTCTGGATTCAGCACAACAGAGTTCCAATCCCAGTCCTGCTCCTCACTGGCTGTGTGATCTTAGTCAAGTCACTTGCCCTCTCTGAGCTTCATGCCCTCCTCAGTAAAATGGAGAGAGGGACTTATATTCCCAGGTGGTTCATTCTTCAACAACAAACTGCACTTGAGCACCCACTCTGTACCAGGCATGGTGCTAGGATCCTGGACCTGGGATGAACAAGACAAATGAGGTCTCTGGAGAGTGGTGCTCAGGTCTGATGGGAGAAGCCAACAGGAAATAAGACCGAGTCAGATGGTGGTGGTAATGAAGGAAATTAACACAGTGAGACATGCTAGCAAGTGACCAAGGGGGAATATTCAGACAGGACAATCAGGAAGGGCTACCTTTGAGCAGAAACCTGAATGATGGGGAGGAGTGGGCCATGAATAAACACCACCCCTTGAAGTCATGCCAGGACTGGAAAGATCTAGCCCAGGGTGGGGCACCCATGTCTGTCTTACACATGTTCATTCTTGCTTCTGTCCTCAAACGTGCTGAGACAACCAGGGCTGGTGGGGCCCCTGCAATCAGGGCAGTGGGAGCAGCGGGAAGCAGCCCCGTTGGGGAAATCTGACCAGACATTCAGCCCAGAGGGTGGCACATGATCAAGAAGTCAAAACCGAGAGGCTCCTGATGAGGGCCTGTTGAGGGCAGGACCAGGTGGCGGAGCTGCCAGATTCCCGGCCAGGGCAACAGAAGACCAAATGAACTGGCTGAGGAGGCAGAAAGCCTAGAGGAAAACTCAAGAAAAGTTCAGAGGGCACGAAACAGCTAGGAACAACCACAAGGGTATTTTTGTAGGCGCTGTACTCATTGATACCCTCCCTCCTCCCCCTCTTGCCCCTCCCCCTCCTGCCCCTCCTGCCCCTTCCCCTCCTTCTCCTCTCCTCCCCCTCCTTCCCCTCTTCTCCTCTCCTCCCTCTCCTCTCCCTCCTCTCCCCTCCTCCCCCTCCTGCCCCCCCTCCTGCCCCTCCTGCCCCTCCCCCTCCTTCTCCTCTCCTGCCCCTCCCCCCTTCCTCCCCCTCCTCCCTCTCCTGCCCCTCCTCCTCCCCCTCCTACCTCCTCCTTC